TTGGGTAGGCCAACCCGCAACACAGCAAGCGCCTGACGAGCGTTGCCGTTGCGTATGTCATTCTGTTCGGATTCTTTTGTCCAGAAAGCGCCTTCCGAGCGTTGGAAAGGCACGACACACGAAAGGCATGTATGCTTGAGTACTGGGGTTTACGCAGTGTGTGAGACCAGCATTTCGGCCCTTGTTACACTAGAAAATGCTTCCTCAAGCTGGCTAATGTAAGACTTGGCAAACGGCAAACCCGTGATTAAACGCTGACGCTAAACTGCACTCTTACATTCTAGTCATTTAAGGGGGGGGGGGGGCACTACAAAAAGTTTCACAAATGTTCACAAGAATATAATGTGAATATAGCATATTCTTCGTGGCCTAGCCTACGAAGTGTGTCTGTGAAAAGACAATGCTCCCGTTTTCTGGTTTCCTGCATAGGTTACGCAGCAGTGTGTCGTGCTTCGTAGACCTTTGTCACGTCAAACATGACTTTATATAAGTCCATAAACACATCTCATATAATCACACTTCAGGCGTGCATGGTTTTCTACAGCCTTACCATGACTCATGGCCCGGGCATATGTGTGTGTGTGTTTGTGTGTGTGTGAGCAAGGCCTCCACCAGCCATAGGTCGCACAGCAGGGCAGAGTGTGGAGGGGCGTGGCGAAGAGTAGCCGAGACTAAGGTCTCCCTTAGCACCATCCACGTTGGACACAAAAACACGCCTATAGCGAATGAACGGGTCCGTTAAACATTTTCAGCTCTGTCTCTATGGTACAAGCTGCTTACCTGATTAAAATTGTACATTATTTCAAGCAAATTTGAAATCGTATACAAAAGATATTAAGGGTGGAACGTCCCAACGCAGCTGGTTAGTAACTGCACCGGAAAGCGCGGCTTAACGTCAGAATACGACATGATTAGGGCTGACCGAATCATCCCTTGTAAATAACTAAATAGCGGTTATAAAGTTATGGAAAAGTATCAATTAAGGCATTGGCAAATATGGTAGAAAATCACTAATTTACATAAAATGCAAAAACTTACTTGAACTAGAAGCGGGCAACAGCTAGCTGTATCTTTTGCCATATTTCTTTGACTGACCTGCAAAGAAAGAAATAATAGTATTAATAATTGTTGTAAATGTAAATAATAATAACTTCCCAAAAGCGGGGATCCAGCTGGTCAGAAGAAACCACATTATTTCCGAAAAATGCAGACAAAAAGAGGAAGTAACCAGCACCACAGGCCAGGCCTGTGACAGGGCTAGGTAGATGTAGAGATGCGCGATGTAGACGCGCCTCTTCGCGTTACAGTGTTTCGCGAGATATCGAGGACAGGCGAGAACGAGAAATTGTTTAATGTACCGCTACCTCACTGTAAAACTAATGTCTGATTCATTGAGAAAGAGAAAAAAACATAAAACTTTTAAGAACTTCTTTGGTTTAAGGGTAAGAAAAATAAGGAAACTTTCTGCAGTTTTTGTGGCGTCGTTTTCAACTAAAAGAGTTCTTTAAAGGTATCTTCTATCTAAAAAAATTGCCATTTCACTGCCGTGCTAATTATAACAACGAACGAGAGAGTGAAAGCAAATAAATGAATAAATGGCCAGAGTCATGACGCTTGCGTCCTTTTCCGAATTGGCTGCGGCAAGGTCAGACTCTGGACGAGCAGGTCCTTTGTGTCCTGCGCAGCAACAGTTCTGAGGGCCATAGAACTGACCACCACTTCCTTTTAAACCGGCACCAAACGTACGACGGAGGGACTTGCATGGTTTGAAGTCCGTCGATCATGTTTGGGCGCCTTAATCAAGTCTCTAAATAGAAACCTATTTACAATTCGAAAGAACTTATTGTGCACTAGTTACAGCAGCAGTGCCTACTTTCCTGTAGCCCTAGAATAAATAAAGTGATTTAAATGAGGTGTTTTAACACAGCATGATCATTATGTGGTCAAGCTGTTAGATCATGATCACAACAGATGACCCCCACTTGATATGCTAAAACAAACAAAGCGACGCAAGGCAAAGGTC